TGGGGGGTAAATAATTTTTAGAATAGTGATTGATGGGAGATGTGTGGTTGAAAAGTTTTTGATTTGTGTGTATTATTATTTTATTTGATGAATGTATGGTTGAGATGAAGAGAGAGAAAAAATTAATGTAATGGAATGTAATATAATGGGGGCCAAACATGGGCTAAACCTTTATTACTACCGTATGTGTAGAAAACCGTGGGTGGGTGAGGTAATTTGTGAGTATACGAGGGAAATGAACGACCGCAAGGGCAAAATTGAGTATTGTCATTTACAATGACTTATGGTACTGTAATTGTCTGAAAATGGAGTCAGATGGTATAGAATAAAGAATTGATATTTGAGCAACCAACGGTCTGATTTTTCCTATTAATTCAACTTTAATTGGGCCTATTCGGTACAACTTAAAATTTAATTAAAATTGAAAATATGGTCGTTATTGGGTCCTACTCGTCTAATAAAAGTCAACAATAACGGCTAGTTTTTCAATTTTAATTCAATTTTAATCTCTACCGAACACGCCCATTATGGCCAAACAACTTCTTATACTTTGTACCCATTTATCTAAATACGCAAAAACAAGCCAACATAATATTTAAAAATCATAAATGAAACGCAAACTTATGAAATAAATGAAAGTGCAAATGTTTTTACCCACTCAAAATGTTGAAATAATGACTTCTAATAACTGTTCATGAGATGCCTGTGTTGAGTATTGAAACATTTGTAAAATATAAATTAGTGGGACTTTAGTGTTAAAAGAAAGATTTCGATAAAAATAAAGAATGAAAGAAAATGGTTCATTTGAATTTAAATAAATTTAAAATATCTTTTTTATAATTGAAAGGGTAAATGAGTATTTTTATCTTTGGAATGTTATTTATAGTCAACGACTGTAATAGTTATTCACGTGACAACTTGTTATTTGATACATTAATTTCCTATAATTTTGTTTCCTCAAATAACTGGTTGACACAAAAGGAATGATCAACACAGTCGTTGACTACAAATAACATTACTTTTAGGAAAAATTTCATATATAAGAGAATAAGTATTGTCCATTTCAAATCTAAAAAATATGATTTAAAATTTCAAAAATCAAATACTAATTAAATTTATTTATGAAAAAATTAATTAAAATATATTTTATTAATTAAATATATTAAAGTCACAATTATATAATACTTGGTCACAAATTATCGAATTAATTGATCACGAATAAAAATTTTTATGTGTTACAAATTATTTTACGATCATAAATAAAAAAATTTATAAGTCACAATTTATTCATTTTATCACAAATTAAAAAAATTACATGTCACAATTTATTTATTGATCACAGATATCAAATTTTATAAATCACGATTCAAAATTTTTAGTCACGTGTTATATATTAGTCACAAGTAATTTGTCACATATTATGTGAGGGTGAAGGACGCACATGAGATCTTTAAAGTACATAATCCACCCAAGCAACAATTAGTCTTGAAGGAAGTCAAATTTGTTGTTGAAGAAGTTCAACAAGGGTCCAATGAGATAAAACATAAACGTCTAGGGAGCCTTAGACGAGATGAGAATGGAAAGTTCAAAGTTTGGAAGGCAAAAAGAGGATACAATGCTGGAAATTGCAAGGAATGTAAGGTTGCAAGATTTCATCATGAGCCACCATAACCAATTTATCCATACAATCTAATTAAAGACAATAAAGTAAGCACTTAATGGGAGGCAACTCAATTTCTAATTCTTTTATTTATTTTGCTTTCTGTACTGCATTGCATATAAATTTATTTTGATTATTAGTTTGCATTAAACTTATGCACGCTTCAATTTATACGGTATCACAATCATATCATGTTTCTCTTTAGGTCATTGAATTTATTGTTGGTTATTTCAATTATTTGAGCTAGGTAACACATGTTTTGGGTTATTTGATCTTTAATATTTGATTTGATTGCTACGTGCAGGAACATAACGTCACGGAATACTCAAACCAACATAAACTAAGAGGAAAGCATGGTGAAGAAGATTGTCTAGCTGCCACACATAATCTCACACCTTCAACAGAAAAATTCGGGGGGTTCCTTTTCATTTTCTTCCCTATCCCCTATATTATTATTTATACTTTATGATATTGAGGACAATGTCGATTTTAAGTTTGGGGGTGGGAAAAACTTTGAATTTTTTACTTTTTAAGTGTTTTTATTAAGTATTTGTGTGTTTTTTCTTCGTTATTACTTTAATATATAATAAAATTTCAACAAAAAAATATAAATATTTTCTTATTTTAAGTTGTTTGCTCGTGTGAGTTAGATAACCTAGCTTGC